TTTACCAAGGTCGTCAGAGTAGTTCTAATCCCGTGGTTGTTGTCACTGAATTTATTGATATAAGTATAAGAATTTATCTCAGAAACTACCTTTGCAAGTTGAAGGGATGTAATTTACTCAACTCGGAATTTCAAATGACCATCACTGAATATGGGTCGCTCTGAACTCTAGCTACCCAAAACGAAACTACCTAATAAACGGATGAATACTCAACTTCTGGGAAAATTTCAAAGCTTCTTCAACTTCAACCAAGGTTCTAAATCCACCACGTCCAATATATACTTCGAGAACCTTGTTAATCTTATTGTGCTTGCTTCACCTGGTTGACCTGTAGTTTGTTGCATGCTATTAACATCAACGCGACAGACATTGCTTCTTCTAGATTTCTACAGATTAGATGACTATATGAATCCCCAACAAAAATGTAAATAATAAATCAACTGGAAACTGTAGCTTATGTCCACATGTCCATGCACATGATTTCTAAAACTCCAACATGGTGATATTCTGTCAATAGCTGAAAAATAACTCAAACACAGCAAGCAAACACGAAAGCAGCGTATGAAACACCTGCAATGAAATGAATGAACTGATCTGGTGTTAAAAACTTTCGAAACAAACGAAATGACTACTTTCAACGGCGAAGGAAAACAGAAGGATGTAAAACGCTACAATAACGAATAATCTACATCAAGAGAATTTGCCAGTAACTGCAGGATAGAGATAGTAACTAGTTAGCAAACAGCAATTCAACACGGTCGACTAACACCGGGGAAAATGGCCTACAAGTGCCTTACAGTTCAATGACCTTGAATGTGAGGAGTCGTTTCAGTCCCTTGATCACATAATCAAGCTGGACTTATCCGTCACGTTGGTTGAAAATTCGCTTGGTAAATTTTTTTTGTCAATAAGTTTTAATAAAATTGTGTTATGTTTTAATAATCTTAAATACACTGAGACCCTTAACGACATTTTGTTTCATGCTTTTCAAAAATTGTATAACAGTAAATTTAATGATATCAAAGGTGAAACATGGGTACAAATCCTGACTCTAATAAGGATGATTAAAACAGTGTGAAATGAAGTAAATTTGATGCAGCATTATGCAATGTAAAATTTTTTTGCAATCTACGTAATTTTATGCGAACCGCTAACATGTAAGCAAATAAACACGAACAAACAACAAATTCACTATTTCCGCATTTCGTTTGTAAATTATTGTTATTGTGTTATATTCAGGTTGGCCTTTCAGTGAATGCGCGCAATTCAAAATTCGGAAGTAACCACGAAAGATGCTATAGTCAGTTTTAAGGTCATGATGGGTTCCTGCGTCTACTGGTTATATGTTTTCATGAATTCGTTTTCCATTGAATTTTAAAGGTTTTTTTGAACGTTTTGCTTGTTTTGGAGTATGTAGGTCAGTTTTCTGTCACTGGATGCTACTAGTAAGGTTGTTTTTAGGCAGAAGTTCCCACTTATTATGTTGGTAGTTAAGGATTATGGTAAACCTGCAATCATTGAGCTAATTCACGTACACTATGATAGTATAGTAACACTATTTAATAAATGAACTCCCTAACTGGTTTTCCATTGTTTGATAATGTGATTGAACCAGAACTGTGGGATTGTTTTATCCGCATGACCGGCTGTAATTCATCACCTTGTTCTTCTTAATAAGCATTATCGAAGAATAGGCTAGAATAAGTTTAGAATTGTTGTAAGCCTGGGGTGATTACGGTATAGGCATTAAATCGTATTAGTCGCCGTTACTCGCGATATCGGTCGGTCGGTTTTCGACATAGAACTTTGCACATATGTGCGGCAGTTCAAGTCGCCACAATCTATGTAGCACGCAAAGCAAGAGAAGGAAGTAAAAGAAATGCATAATGGAAACAGTAAACAGAGGTGTGAGACAAAGGAATAGTAATAGCGGAGAACAAAACAGTTTAATTGGAAATCATAAGTCACAAGGAGTGGATGCATCTGCGCCACTGAGAACGATTTTGAGCCATGTCACCAATTGTTTCCAACCATTGGTTTTTACCATACCGAGGACCCCAACCAGTCAGGAAGTCTACATCTTCCTACGTGGCTTAGATTAACTGTTGTAGATTTCATTGATTGGTGCCATGTTTTCGTTTGACCGCCGCTAGCTCTTTTCCAGCCTGGCCCTATATCAGCTAACATTGCCCGTCGAGGAAGGCGATGACTAGGCATACGTAGCACATGTCCTAACCATCTCAGTCGAAGTAATTTCACCGTTTCGTCGATTGATTTCCCCGCCTTACCTATCACTCGACGCCTAACCTCAATATTGCTCACCTTATTATACCACTTCGCGCGGGAGATAGAACGCAGACACCTATGATCGAAGACAGCTAATCTTTTCATGTCTTCTGCTCTCAATGGCCAGGTCTCACAGCCATAAAGGAGGACGTCTATCCTGGGAGCTAATTATGGTGCCATTTTTCTCGGAGATTGTTTCGCTTATCATTTGCCTTTTACCACCTGTTTCCCTGATAAGCCCGAATAGTTGTCTGGTGTTGCCTATCGCCGATGCTTTTTCCATCTCTTTCGCCTTTGTCAACCACCATTGTTCACGGTCCTTGCGGAGACTTTTCGTAAGTTTCTTTTGTGCAGCTTTCGCTCCTCATTGAATTCAGAGCTCGCCGGTATAAGTCTTCTAGCATCTATCAGTTCGGATGAGGCAGTCGAAATCCAATGGTTTTTACTCACCTTCGGATTTACCTTATTCACAGCTTTTACAGCTGTATCTATCTATCTATCGCGATATGCTATGAACTAGAAATCTTCGGCTGATAAAACGCATTACATAAGGCACAGATCGGTGTAATTTGTAACTGACTTGCCAAGCGCTCTCATCAGGAAACAATCAACCAAAGTATGCTTTAAACTGTCGCTCTCAGGCATTTGAAGGGAAAGGAAGTGTAACACAGTTTAGACATAGATGTTTATATTGTGAATACAAATGGAAACAATAAGGTAATGCAAATATTTTCACAAAAATGATCGATTAACAGGGGCACGTCGTAATCTCAAAGTTGTTTGCGGTTCATTTGCTAGCAAAGTGTCCAACCTTCTTGTGAACTCTGCTACTTCCCGCAGTGCAGCATCCGGATTTCTTTGGTTCAGAATGTTGAGACGACGTCTTAAACGTTCATAAGCATTTCTGAACGCGTTGTTCGGTTCCGGTGTTAGGCGGATGGCTCGTGGAATGTCCTCCGTGGTGTTATACTGACGTGTCCACCTGTCACTATTTCTCAGAATATCTAAGAGTAACAATTAAGGAAATGGAACTTGCCACAGGTTAGATATGAATTTAAGAAAGCCTCAACGACATGAGCACATGGCAAATTGTATGCACAGTATGTCCAACACGTGCATTTCGCCTCGTCCCTGTTTACGAAGAAGATGTGACCACCTTCTGCGTAATTAACTGAAGTGGAAGATATTGAATGAAAGAAGAAGGATCGCCTTTGCAAGTCTAAGAAAACTTTCTTGGCAGCAAAGGGTGTGAGACGCCGTAATATGGGCTGCAGGGAAGTATGTACCTAGGAGAAATCGTAAATTATCTTCAAACTTACATCGTAATTGTAGTATTTACAAAGCATCCACTGGCCCTGACGTATTTTACGCATGGTTGTGTGGTCAATCCACTTCCATATTTTCCATAGAGTCAGTTCCAGCGGATCCCCTTTACGTAA